ATTCTGTAGGTGGTTGGGATCGACTGAGTCGGGATCTCCAAATAAGGAATTGAACCAGTGTCCTCCCATCATCACCTAACAAAAAACAACAAACAAATTAACAAACAAAATAGAAACTAAAAAAGAGGGATTTACGGGGTTCGAAAATAAGTAGTAGTCCGATACAAGTAAATTTTCCTGCTGTGTAAGGATCGATTTAGGCAAGTCGTCCTCTAAAAAAATCAGTAACAGTAAGACGAGCAAGAAGCAGCTGGCCGGAAAAAGTAAAATGCGAGAGCTGTTTGCCCGAAGGACAAGCTGGAATTCAAATTTGTTTCAAACCCTGATCGACATAGCCTTTTACGTGACTGTTGTGCAGTAATGCTGTTTGACCTCAAGCTGATTAAAGACTACTGAAATAAAACAACAGTTTAATTTCATAGAGGCAGCTGAAAAAAAACTAAAAGCACAAGATAACAAAAAAGGTAAAAATATAGGTTTGACACTCACAGTTATCCTTGTAGTTTTGCCACCATGATGTCTGTCATTTTCAGGGAAAGCACAAGAGTCGAAGATAATTCCAAGGACTTGGGTTTCATCAGAAGAAGGAACTAAATATCCAAAACCCTCCACAGGTACTACACTTCCTTCATATTCTAAATTCACAACTCCCACTGTTGTGGTATGAATATTACTCAGTTCATCAGCTAGAGGTTTCCAGTCCAATGGTACAATGTTTGCCAGGCACTGCGCTGGTATACAACTTATTACGTGATCTACCGTAATCTGATCATTCACTGAATGCAGCGTTAGCTTTCCATCAGAAGTCATGCTCAAAGATGTACAAGGTGCATTCATTTTGATGCTAACTCCTTGTTGCTTAAGTATGTCATGTAATTTATCGGTCACTGTCTGCATGCCACCCTCTATAGACCATGTGCTCCAACGTTCTTTCTTGGCTATTGTTGCTAGGGGGCTTAGGACAGAGGTGTCTGGGGCTATGAGTGCAAGAGAAATAAGTTAAAAGTTGGTGGAATTTGGTCATCTGGGTGAATGAGGTCCTGAACAGGACTATTGCCATAATGGTGACTGTGACTGATGTTAAGGCTCAAAGTGTGGACATAATTATCAGATTCAAAGTACAGCTGCAGTTGTTGAAATGTCAGTCACTGTCATAAACAGTCCTATTCTAAAAGGACCTATATCACACTATTTCCTATCTTTTTAAAAAGGTTAAGCTGTTTACATCAATCAAATTCCAAAAATTGGTTCAGTTTTGTTATTTAAGACCACAAAATTATTTTACGCATTGAAACTGTTTGCTGTCTTCTGTTGCCAGCGGATGGCAAGGATGACATGGATTGAAACTTGAAAAGTTCTTTTAATTAATGCTATGCCTGAAAAAATCACCCAAAAAATATTGTAGTTAGTGCTCCTTGATGAAATTTGTTCATGATATCTTCATCATAACTCCACAGGAGTCACATCCAGTGATCACATCCCCAATAATATTCAGCCTTATACTTTGAACAGATTTTCTAATGGGGTCAAAGTAATGACTATGTCTAATGCTCACCTTCTTTTGTGAGAAAAACTCCCTTTAATATGGAACCATGTTGGTTTTCATATTGATAAACTGAAGGAAAACAAGACTTCAAGCTCAACAAACGAGTGTCACCAGCAAAAATGCCTCTGCAAAGTGGATCACTCAGATACTCTGCTACCTTAAAATAACAACAAAAAGGAAAGAAATTGAGTTGACAGTATACAGTGTAATTCAATATAGTTAATTAGACACTTGAATATTTTTTGTCTGTCTGCAGGCAAATTTAACTTTCTCAGGATATAAAACAAGGTATCAATTTCTTCCTTATTAGACTTTTGGGGATAACACTGCCAATAATGGCAGACAAAGATTTTAATCGGACAGAAATAATGACTTTGAAAAAAATTAGATGCTTCAATGAAAAAGATTTTCAGATAAGGGACAGGAGCTACATGTACTTGGTAAAAATGCAGGACTTTTGTCTTAAAATTCTGGTGATACTTTCAGCTTGCAGGATAATCCATTAGTTCTTTTGTGACTAAACCGTAGCAAACAGGGTTTTCATGAAGAATTCTAGTAGCAGGAGAAAGGTGTAATGTTACAAGAGAATATTTTGAAAGTGGCTCCTTGTCTGAATAAAAAGAGTCATAGGCTACC